TTTAGTAGAGACGGGGTTTCACCATGTTGACCAGGATGGTCTCGATCTCTTGACCTCGTGATCCACCCGCCTCGGCCTCCCAAAGTGCTGGGATTACAGGCTTGAGCCACCGCGCCCGGCAGTCTCAGTTTCTTTCAATGTTTTGCAAATGAGCCAATGCCTACTTTCAACTCAATCATGTAGTTAGTAAACTTGGCTAATAATAAAAAGGGGAAGAGCTTAGTGGTGAAAAGCAAGGGCTCTTTGAATCTCTTTAGACTGCTTTTTGACACTACCTTTACCTATCACGTGGGCAGTCACTTAACCTCCTGGGCTGTTTCATTTGTCAAAGAGAAGGTTTTGTTTCATTGGATGACTGTAAGAAAAAATGAGAACATACATCAAAGTATGTAGGCCACGTGTGGTGGCTCACACCTGGAACCCCAGCACTTTGTTTTTTGTTCTTTTGTTTTGTTTGATCTCAGCTCACTGCGACTTCTGCCTCCTGGGTTCAAGCGATTCTCCTGCCTCAGCCTCCGGAGTAGCTGGGATTACAGGTGGGCGCCATCATGCCCAGCTAATTTTTGTATTTTTTAGTAGAGATGGGGTTTCACCATGTTGGCCAGGCTGATCTGGAACACCTGACCTCAGATGATCTGTCTGCCTCAGCTTCCCAAAGTGCTGGGATTACAGGTGTGAGTCATCATGCCTGGCCATTCCAGCACTTTGTGAGGCCAAGCTGGGAAGATCATTTGAGGCCAGCAGTTTCAGACTACCCTGGGCAACAGAGCAAGGGCCCTCTCTCTACAAAAATAGAAATAAATATGCTGGGCATGGTGGCACACCCCTGTAGTTCTAGCTACTCAGGAGGCTGAGATGGGAAGGTCTGCTTGAGCCCAGAAGTTCAAGCTGCAGTCAGCTATGATGTTCTCACTGCACTCTGGCCTGAGCAACAGAGCAAAACCCTGTTTCTACAAAAAAAAAAAAAAAAAAAGCATGGTGTCTGGCACATAAGTGCAATTATTGGAAACCATGTGTCCCACACTTCATGGCGCCTGCCTCTGCTCCTTTTGCCAAGGGGAAAGAGGCAGTGCAAGGTAAATCTCTCCACCCCTATTTTAGCAGTTAGGATTGTACCTTACTTTTCCTCTACTCTTTTTCAGTTTGCAGACTTTGTGGCTCCTGCCTCCTCATCTCCCTGGCTCAGTGAGGAAGATCCCCACCATTGGCTCTACTTTCCAGCTGATCACAGCTATTTACCTGTACCAGTCATGAGTAGGGCAAAAAATATTTACAGAGAACAGATGTCTTTCAGAGGACTTTCTGCTAAGTGTAATAGTGAAGATTACTTGCATTACTGCTACTTTCCAATCAATTTAAAAAAAAATCGAAAACTTTGCATTACAAAGAGATCATAACACGAAGGCATTGTTTAACGCCTCTTCTTTATCCATTTTTTTGCCTGTCTCCCTGAACCATCTGTGAGGCTGAGACTCAAATTTACATAACAGCCAGAAACCATCAACCCAACCTCTTCACACACTAACGTCTACATTCTCTTTAAAAAAGACTTAAACTTTGGCTCATGTGGGAAGTGGTGGTAGTGGTGGAGACTTAATAAAAGGTGGTTTTGTCTTCCTGAAGTGAAAATGTAGCACCGTCAACATCTTTTCCCCATCTGCCTGTTTCCTCCCTCCCTTTCTGTTTAAGGAAAGTGTAACCACCGTACTTCTCCCCACCTCCCAGCACCTCCCCCCGCTCCACGCACCTCCCCCCACCCAACGCAAGCAACTGAACCGCCTATGATGTCATAATCACAATCCCATTACCTCATCCTGCTGAGGGGGGGGCAAAGAGGGAGAAGAGGGAGTGAACAGCCTTGGGCTATCCTGAGCTTTACAAACTGTTCTGGGTGAGGGCAAATTACAAAACCGAGTGGAAAGGGCCCCGCAACCATTGTAAGTCCTGGGTTTTTAAGGTTCATGCCGATCCGGCAGCTGCAAGAGGGGCTCCTGGGACTCAGAGCAGGCCCTGATCGGCGCTTGGACCACACTTCCCAGCAGCCTTCACGCGGCGGACAGGTCCTTTGCTGGGGGAAAGGGGATTCCTTCGAAGAGGTGGCCGTGGAGGGCGGAGCAGCAGAGCAGGTGAGGGGCACTGTGACTAATTGCGTGACGCGGTCCGAACCAAGTGGGAGGCTGCAGTTGGGCCGATGGAGGGAGGGAGGCCAGGGGCGATGCCTTTGTTTACCTTCTTCCGACGTGGCCTCCCCCACGGGTTTCGAGATGTGCCTCGGACTGGGACCGTCCACTTTCTGAGATATTTAGAAGGGGGTGACTCGTTAGTGAGGAAACCACCCCCATCCCTAAATCAAAGCGCCAGTCTAGTTCCCGACAGCGCTATCTGAGAAAGACGTTGAGAGAGACACCGCACGGGGCTGCGGCCTCCGCGGGTAGCTTGGGGGGATTCTGCGAGCCGGAGCTGTCCCCCTGCTCTCCTCAGGGACTCGTTGGTTCGCCCCAGCGCCTTTTAAGGGCACCGTGGGGCGAACGGAGCGCTCAGAGCTGCTCCGGCCGTGGCCCTGGGAGCTGGAGGAGCCGCGGTAGGTGGCGGAGGGCAGGTGGCTCTGGGGCCTCGGGGCGGGCACCTCAACTGTTCCTCCCTCCTTCCCTCTTTCCCCTCCCCCAGTCCGGCCGCCCGCGCGGCCGGGCCTCGCAGGCCGCCTCCGCGGGGAGAGCACGGGACCCGGTGGGGGAGGGGGTGGCGGAGTGCTAAGTCCCAGACCCTCCCCATCCCTTGCGTCCTGAGTTCGCTTCCCGCGGCCAGATGATGGAACCTAGTGGGAGGAGGCGAACGCCAGCCTCCCTGAGCAAGCCTTGGCGACCCCCCCCCACCCCCCACCGCGGACCAGCGGACGCCCCATGCCCCACCCCGCGGGGACAGGCAGGGCAACAGAGGGATAGCTTGAAGATTGGAAGGGCCTAGCCTTTTGCTTCTTCATGGGGGTGGGGGGAAGGGTGTTTCCCACTTGTCACCCCTATCCCCACCAGAACCATATGGAAGAAGAGGCGGAAGGTCTCCACTTACCTGTTCGTGCACCTCCCTGCCTTCCTCATGTTTTCCTTCAGTCTCCCCAAGAGATGTAGGGCTGGGACCTGGGGGGAAGGTCCCCAAGGGATTTGTGACTCTCCTCCCTCTTGGCCTGACTTGATTCTACCTTGTCTAGATTCAGCACAACCTCAGCATCCCTTAAACAGGAGTGTCAGGGGTTACTGCCATCAGTAGCAGATGGGGTGGGGGTCCGATCTTTATTTTAGGGGGCTGATGGTGGAGGAAAAGCCTGGACTGAGGGTTAGGCCTGGTGGGGTTGCTGAGAGGGCCTAGCGGCCTGCTGCTCAGTGAAGGGCTGAGCCCTTGTGCCAGTTGTTAAACTGAGAAGTTTTAACTTGTTTAGTGAACGTTTGGGGCTGTCTCTACCCTTCAGATATACAAAATGGAAGGGGAAGGAAGGCAGCAAGATCGGGCTTCTTACACTTTTTTCAATGCCTGCTTGAGAAAGAGGAGGCCCCTCGCGGAGCTGGTTTGCCTTCTTTTGTGTCCTGGTTTGATTCCTTATGGCTTCCGTTCTGTTCCCCCTCTCAGCCTGGCCTGTTTTAGGAAACTCAGGCCGAGAGTATCAGTTGCGTGGTGGTAGTTGCATTGTTTCAATTACCGCTGTGTGTGGCCACATCCCAACAATTAAAATGCAGAAAAACACAAATTCACTCTCTTCACTTGATCCTAGAGATGGTTGGGAGTTTGCTGTTTGTCCAAATGTCTTTCGAAAAGCTAGGGAGTTTGTTTCACTACCCTGCTCCTCATATCTGGTTAGCCTGAGGCCTGGGGTCTCTAGGGTAAAATCCTGCACTTAGATTTCCTCTCTGGTTGATCTTTGAGGGCAGAGTTAAGAAACCAAGAGCAGAAGTGATATAAGCTTTAGCTTCTCCCATAAGAACATAGGGGAAGCAGCTGAAGGGAGCTCCCTGGAAGCTAGAATTTTGTTCAGGGTGGTCATAATTATGCATGAAAATAATAGTTAACTCTAATGATGATTGACTTCTCTTGCACCTTTCTTCCAAATAACTCCAAGTACATCCAGGTTTATTTCTTTGCTCTTCCTTGTGGCCTCCTTCTGAGGTGTGAATAGGTTAGAGATGATTTCCTCTTTATTGTAGAGTGGTCTGCCCCCAAGGTCACAGAAGGAAGAGCCCTCTTGGGCTTTTCTTAGTGTGCAGGTGAGGGAGGATGGTATTCAGCCAGAGATACACCCTGTTGCCTTCTTCATCTTATTGATATCATTATTTCTGACATTCTGAGGTCTTGAAGATTCACAAACGGAAATGAGAAATGGTAGTCTATGTGGACTCCTGATTTTTACAGGCCAGGTGGTACCTTTTGTACATTTTAGTATGTTATGTTGTTCCTGTGACAGATTTAGATTTTTCTGCCTACTTTACATATGGGTAAACTGAGGCCAAGGAGTATTAAATGATTTGCCAAAACTCTCAGAAAATTAGATTAATAATTAGATTTCTTGATCATTTGTTCTCTTGACTAGCCAATGCTGCATACATTCTCTGGTAAGCTGTCAGCTTTCTGGTCATTTCTGGGAATAGACAGAACAAAATCAAGACTCTGATTTAACCTCCCCTTTTCCGTTGAGCAAGACCCCTTTGGTAATTATGTGGGCTTGAAGCCTGTTCTTGAAGCCTGTTCTCTGATGGAGTTAGTTTGCTTCTGTCAGAAATTGACCACGAGAAAGAATCTTGCTTAACTGTATCCATGGTCTTTGCATCAGATCAGGCTAAAAACTTAGTCGAATAAAGTCATGTAGTTGTTTATAATGTCTGTGGAGTTGAAATGTATTGGAATTACCCTGACCATTTCCTTATCCTCTTCCTATTTGATAAGAAAACATACACAGCATCTATGGGAAAACAATAATATATCAGATATTTAGGCAGTGGGAGGACATAAAATCCTATGTACTCTGGTCCAAAGCAGAGTCATGCCTACAACCACCGTTCCTCCTTGTTCTCTTATTACTATTTCTGTAGTTTAGGAGAAGGGTACCTCTTTTCACTTCTGACTGGAAGATAAAATACTGGGCTGATCTTGATGTAAATAATCATTTGGGCATCCCTCTCTCTCACTTGAACAGCTGTTTTCTAAGTGGTGCTGGTATTCCAGTTAGAAACAACAGAGCATGAACCAGGTTAAGAGTGGCAAATAAGTTTCAACTTGATTGCCAACTCTATTTTATTTTGTATCTAGACTGCCAAGTTCACAATTTCTGAAGCTATGTTTAGGCTTAGCAGGAAAGAGCTGTGATCAATTGATGTCTGCCAGAGGCCTGGCTTAGGGGTGCTGTGGTATGTGTGCCATGCATTTTCCATCTCTGGACCAGGTGCATCTCTAATATCACTTGGGGCTGGTCCCTCTAATTGGCAGACTCAGCAGGCATGACTGGAGAGGGAAGTCCCAGTGGTGCTAGAATGGTGCTGCAGTGGCAGAAGACGGCTCACGAGTGAGGTCTGGAAGAACAACAGGGAAGACATCCATCATTTGCTCCAAAGTGTGCAAGTCAAATCCTGGGGAGAATCATGATAACCCTGATCACTGAGCAGCTACAGAAGCAGACTCTGGATGAGCTGAAATGCACACGCTTCAGCATCAGTCTGGTAAAAGACCAGTCTTCCTGCTTCTCCACGACCCCCTCCCCCTTTTTTCTGAGGCTGATTGTTGCTACTACTTTACTCTTGTCCTGTGCTGTATGAATCATGGTACTTAACCTGGAAGAGCCCACTAAGGGCTCAAAACCCAGCCCAAAAGGAAGGGGGCAGGGATTTTTCCACCTATAGAGAAGGGACAGCAAAACCTGGGTGGAGAAGGGTTTGAGATGTTGGAAGATGTGGACTGTGACTTACTAACTTTGGGAAGACTAAAGGAAGAACGCTTAATGTCCCTAACATCCCAATAGCTCATGAATTGCAGAGGAGAACTGAAGAGGGCTTCCTAGAAATCTGTCAGTGTGTCCTGAATCCAAATCATGATGGATATTCTCTCTTTCTTAGCCTTTGCCTGATCATGCAGACATCTCCAACTGTGGGAACCCTTTCCAGCTTGTGTCTGGTAAGGCATCGTGTGTGTTTGTGTATACCCATGTCTATCTCCACACAATTCTATCATTGGTTTCCAGTGACCAGGGTTGGCAAGCCTAGCCCTAGAACTTTCTTGCCAGGGTCAACTTCTGAGATTGGTAGTTGTCTTTCATGTTCTAGCATGAAAGTTATCTGGTTAGTTTGCTCTTATTCTAGCTCTGTGGGCACTTTGTATAGTCTAATTTTTTAAATAGCTAATACATTCACATGGTTCAGAATTTAAAAAAAAAAAAAAAGGTTATGCTGAGAAAAATCTGTCTTACTCTCCTGTTCCCTATCTACCCAGCTTCTGCCACCTCCCTAAAAGTATTAGTCTCTTTACAGTATATGTGACCGGAATTTTTTTATGTAAAAAGAAGCAAATGTATATCTATCTATCTATCTATCTATCTATATGTATATTTTTTTTACTTTAAGTTCTGGGGTACATGTGCAGAACATGCAGGTTTGTTACATAGATATACATGTGCCATGGTGGTTTGCTGCACCTATTTTATTTCCACATTTTTGACACAAAAGGTTGCATATTATATATCATTTTGTCCCTTTTTAAAAAAAAGAAACTGGCCGGGTGCAGTGGCTCACGCCTGTAATCCCAGCAGTGGATCACAAAGTCAGGACTTTGAGACCAGCCTAGCCAACATAGTGAAACGCCATCTATACTAAAAATACAAAAATTAGTCAGGCATGGTGACATGTGCTAGTAGTCCCAGCTACTCGGGAGGCTGAGGCAGGAGAATCGCTGGAACTCGGGAGGCAGAGGTTGTGGTGAGCCGAGACTGCCACTGCACTCCATCCTGGGCAACAGAGCGAGATTCCATCTCAAAAAACTTTAATATAGCTAGGAGATCTTTCCCTATCAGAATGCTGAGCATTCCCTTATTATCTATAGCTTTGTATTATTACACTGTATCAATGTACAGTGGCTTATTTTTTATTTTTATTTTTTTCGAGGTGGAGTTTCGCTCTGGAGTGCAATGGCGTGATCTTGGCTCATCTCAACCTCTGCCTCCTGGGTTCAAGCAATTCTGCCGCCTCAGCCTCCTGAGCAACTGGGATTACAGGCATGGGCCACCACACCCAGCTAATTTTGTAATTTTAGTGGAGACAGGGTTTCTCCATGTTGGTCAGGCTGGTCTTGAACTCCCAATCTCAGGTGATCCGCCCGCCTCTGCCTCCTAAAGTGCTGGTAGAGTGGCTTATTTAACAACTCTTCTATTGATTTACATTTAGGTTATTTCCAATCTTGTTTAGATACATAAAATTGTAGTGGGCCAGGCGTGGTGGCTCACACCTGTTATCCCAGCACTTTGGGAAGCCTAGGTGGGTAAATGACTTGAGGCCAGGAGTTTGAGACCAGCCTGTCCAGCATAGTGAAACCCCGTCTCTACTAAAAATACAAAAATTAGTCAGGTGCAGTGGCTCATGCCTGTAAACACAGCACTTTGTGAGGCCAGGGTGGGTGGATCACGAGGTCAGGAGTTTGAGACCAGTCTGGCCAACATAGTGAAACCCTGTCTCTACTAAAACTACAAAAAAATTAGTCCGGTGTGGTGGTGTGCACCTGTAATCCTAGCTACTCAGGAGGCTGAGGCAGAAAAATAGCTTGAACCCGGGAGGTGGAAATCACAGTGAGCCAAGATTGTGCTGTTGTACTCTAGCCCAGGTGACAGTGCGAGACTCCATCTTAAAAAAAAAAAATTAGCCGGGCATGGTGGCTCAAGCCTGTAATCCCAGCACTTTGGGAGGCCGAGGCGGGTGGATCACAAGGTCAAGAGATCGAGACCATCCTGGTCAAC